TGTTTTTAGTAACACTCATTTGTTCCTTGTTTGGTAGGAAGTTTTGTGGGATGATCCCCCGATACCTGAAAGTGAAGCAACCTGTGCATTGTTTTACTCTATATCCTCTACAAAGGCATGTATAAGTTTTGATGTTATTTACTGCAAAAATAGAAAGCTTTGGGAAGACGTTAAATATATCGTCAGAAAGGTGTAAACACAATGCTGTCTGAAAAATATTTCCCTCTTGCAATACAAGAACGTTACTCGATAGGACATTAATTGCACTTTCCATAAACACTCCTATATAGTTTTTAAAATGTGTTACTTTCAAGTTCTCTTAAAAAAACTGCTCCTTTTCAGATTTTTTTAAAATTTATTTTTCATTTTCTAAAATCAAATTTGTAATATAATTATATAAAAAACATCCGAGAATTTTAAAAATGTATATAGTTGATGAATACGATTGGCTATCAAGAGGGGTATGATCCTTGTTTCGTTATTCTATGTAATAATTATTGGCGAAGTTAGATTTTGTAATTTTTTGTATATGTGCCCTTTTTGCTCTTTGAAAATGGTTGATTTGGTCTTAAATGTTGATAATAATGTATCTTTTTACGTTCTGATATTAAACCATTGAAATTTTGCAGCCTGGCTTATCAGGAATCAATCTTGGGAAGTTCCTCATTAAGCGAGTAATCACACTTGTGAAGAGAGACATGCCATTTATCAGTGTACGTATTCTCGAGACTATTTGGCCAGATTATGGCAAGTTTTGAAGTAAAAGTTTTCTGCTAGACCTCATGTGAACAATGTTACAGAAAGCAGCCTGAACTCTGTAACCTTATTATTTCTTTGACCATCCATGTTGCTTGAATGTTAAAACATTTGAAGTTACTTTAGATGGTGGCATCGACTGGCTGTAAGAAGCAGCTATGGAGGAGGTTTCATTGTTTATTCTCACGTACAATATTTTGTCTGCCACCAACTCTGTCTTTATTCACTAAATTTCAAATTTGTCCATACCTCTCTGTGCAAAGAGGAAGTTGAAGCCCTCTTCATAGTTAGGCTTTGCAGAACGATGTGTTTCATGTTAGAGAAAAAATTTCTATTCGTAAGGAGTTCCATCCTCCTATGAAGGGGGATTGAGGGAGAGAGAGCCAGAATGAGAGAGAAAGGCAGAGGACAAGAGACCAAAGGAAAAGTGAAGTGGGTACAAAGTAGTTGAACTAAAGGGATATTTTGGGCTATAAAAATTTAATATGATATGAGGATATTTGATAGTGCATCTACAAGATCACTCTGGATGATAGACATATAGTTTAATTGATCAATTACAATATCCTCTTCATCCGTTTGAATGATTGAAGTTTTGAATCCTGTTTTTTAAAGCTTCATTTCCCCTTAAATGACACTACCACTTTCTTAGTCGCTTGCAATAGTCACTAATTTGGAGGTATATACTCTGCAGACATTTGCAACTCTAAGTCCAATCCCAGGTTTCATGCAGTGGCTCCTATCAAAGTTGGCATCTCAATCAAATCTCGACGAGGTAGAGGTTGCAACACGCACACCCGGAGATGAATCTGTTTCCACTTTCTGGGAGAATATACTTGAACCGGAGGAGGAAAGACTGCTCATTGAATCATCAGAGTAAAAGAATTCGTTTATCATTTGTTTCATTTCCAGCCTCAAAGAATGGTTAGTGATGTTTTCGCCAATGCACTGACATTCTCATTGACGTCTTGCAGAGATTTTGTCACCGGAAAGAATGGCATGGAAATCATGTTCAAGTTATTGACTTTGTCAAACCATGAGTGGATCAGTTCGACAAAATTGCTTTCAGCATTAAAACGCCCTCTAATGCGCTTGTGTGCCAGGTATAGATTTTAGTTTTATGGATTAAGGTTATGTAGCCTTGGTGTAGGAGAGAATTGAAGGCTAATTGATAATTTTATGCCATTTGGTTGATTTTAGGTACCTTGTGGAAGAGAAAAAGAGAGGAAAAGCTCTAGATTCTGTAGCAAACTTTCACCTGCAAAACGGAGCAGTACGTATCTTTCCCTCAATTAGCAGAAAAGGAAACTTTTACTGGAGTTTTTTATTTTTGGTTTTTGAAAATTGTGCTCGTTTTCTTACGACTTCCTTATCATGGTTTTCATATTTCTTAAGTAAACATTTGAATTCTTAGTCAAATTTCTAAAACAAAAACAAGTTTTTTAAAAAATTATTTTTTTCCGTTTTCAAAATTTAGCTTGGATGGTTAAAACAGTTCTAAAAAGTAAAGAACGAACAGAGAAATCATTAGGTGGAAGTGATTTTTACAATCTTAATTTTCAAAAAATCAATAACTAAATCAAAGGTTGTCAAGGGGGGATCTCGAATATCAATTTGGACCTTTTATTATCTTTGGAAGTGTGCTGGTTTTTTAATTGGCTTTTTAGCGTTATACTTCAAATCGACAGAAGTAATATGCCCTCGAAGTGTTGGGGCTTTGATTTGCTGTTCTTAAATGTGGAACAGATAATTGAGAGACTTAACTGGATGGCAGATCGATCCGTCAAAGGCCTCCTTCAAAGTGGAGGCATCATGGTGAACTACGTTTACAGGTATTCTCCTTCAAACATTTCATGGCTTCTCTTTGAAGTACTGAGATAGCAATATAACTATGAACATTCCCACCAACATCTAACTATTTATGACGTTATAGGATGGAGAAAATAGAAGAATATGCTCATTCTTACTTCAGCACTGGCCAAATACATTCCTCACCTGACATTCTTCGTTACGTCGAGGTAAGTTCGTGTATGTCGGCCAATGTTAATTGTTCATCAAATGCTTACCGACAAGTTACATCTCGTTCATTTTCTTGTTTTTAGACCAAAAAGTTACAGGATGAATCTACAGAGTAGACAAATTTCTGGAAGATTCAATTGGTACATCACCATCCCTAAAGATCTATAATTATTTATTCCTCTCTGCTGCCATTATTGTTTCTGCTGGCTATAAATCATACTGTGGTCTGTGGGAGGTTAGATCTTATAGAATGATAAGATATCCGATGGTGTAGCATAGCATCACTAGAATATGGCATTTTATTCAAGAAAAAGACTTGTGTTATGTAAATAATCTTTATATAGCTCACAGATCAAGCGCTTTTGCGCCAAAGATGAATGGGGATACACACAAAAGTAGCAAAAGTAAATCGTAAATATCACTTCAATTTTAAAATAGAATGGTTTTAAAGTGCTTCTAATTGGTGTATTTTTTCCTTATGGCATGAATTAAAATGTTACCTTGAATATATAATCTTATGCTTGAAGCTCGCCGACGTTGACCGATTTGCCATATTTTGACCTTTTCTTCCTTCAATTTCTGAGCCGGTTTCAACTGTACCCATAATAATACGATTTTAGAGCCTTATTGGAAGGTTTTGGAGGAAGAAAATGTCCTAAATCGGCTAAAATGTAAGAAACTATTTGGATCAGCCTACTTAATTAGTGCTTATAAGATGAGCATATTTATGAAATGCTATTGAATTTATCTATGATATGTGATTGAATTAGATTGTATCTATGTACATTAAGTGATTAATGGGTTATAAGTAACTAATTGAAATTTCTATTCAAGTGTTGCTTGTAGGATGCGTATGATTATGAGTTATTTTGGAATGTACGTTTTATATATAGTAAATTATGATCGAAACGATTGTATTGACGTGTTAAAGCATGTTAGTGATTAAGAATGCATGGATATGTTCAAAAATGGTAAATTATTATGAACTCCTAGGGTTTATGAAATTGGAGATGTGAAAGATAGAATTGATTGGACATTAATTTGTATAAGCTCGTTAGTAAATGAGAGTATGGAGAAATGTTCCGGTTTATGTTAATGTGTATATTATGCATACCTAAATGGTAATTACACGTTGTGTATTGAGTAGCCACTAAGACCAATAGAAGTGAATTACCATAAGTCGCACTTCACCTTGCCGTGTATTGAATTGCTAATAGGGGAATGATAAATAGCTTAACTAGATTACTCGAACCCTAGTACGCTTAAACATTAGGAAGAGCTCAAAGGAGGAAGTTCATGTGTTCGGTGAAGCTAGATAGTATGAACAAATTATTGAATAGGACATGTAACACCTAGTTGATGAAAAATCTTTCATCTTAGAGGTCATGAGGCATCAATGATTGTGATATGAGCTTAGAGAAGCTAGACGACATGATATCGATCATTAAAGTAGGTCATATGATATCAATGATTGAGATAAGCTTAGAGAAGCTAAAAGATGTAAATCAAATGATTGGGTCAGAGTGTGTAATATGAATGATTGAGATAAGATGAAAGGAGAAGGAGCCAGATAAGCTATTATTAGGGAGTCAAAACCCTAACGTGAGCTTAAATGAGTGAGTAAAACTAAACAAAAGTCTTTTCTAGTACTATATATCTCAATGAGGTAAACCGAATCTCATGCATAATTACTCGTGTTGAATAACTCACTGAGCTAGTGACAAGTAGGCTCATATCTCTTTGAATGTTTGTTTGACTACACATCGTTATACATTTATTGATATAAATAGAGTTCCTTGTATAAATTGGATTGGTTTCTATCTACGGTAATAAACCTTTTGATGAAGTTGTTACGATGAAATTAAAAGTTCCGATATTAAATTACAAAATTTTAAACAACATCAATCGAACCGTAAAAAAAAAAAATATTTATACTTACTTTAATATATATACCGGTGGCTAGAAGACTCAAGGTTTAAACTATATTGAACTTAAAAAATTACCAGAACATATATAAAAATATTTATAAAAATGCCATTTATAGAGATCATATTTTTGTTATTTTCGAAAGAAAGCAAAAAAAATAAAATTATAATTTTGGTTGACAGAGTAGGGAGAGTGTTCAAAATAAAAATGAAAAACATGCATTTTGTCCCACATCGACGAGTGTACGATGAAGGAACCGAGGACAAGCTATAAAAGGGAGGGATTCCGGCCCATCAAGTATACCTTTCTCGGCCTTTTGGCTAAGATCAAGTGTAGTATCTGTTCTTATCAGTTTAATATCTGATACGTGGGCCATCGGCCCACATGATATTAAATTTATGTTTTTAAGGGGAGAGCCCTCTTACGGTAGCTTGCTGCTGGGGCTCTTACGCGTCGCCTTGGCGCTGCACTACAGCTAAGGCCCGGCGCACCCTTCCAGTATGTAGTTTTAGTTGTATTAACCAAGTTTCGAACCTTGTTGGACTGGCTTGTTTCCTTTAAAAGGTTCGAGTTAATTTTTATTTATTAATCTTTTTTGTAAATCTTTGTGAAGTCGTTTTTTCTAAAGTTATTTAATGATTGTTGATATTTTAATTTCCTATTGTGTTGTGACCGAATATTTATGAATATCACACATTTTGTAGGTACAAATTCTTGTATGCCTTGAAACTATTATTTTACTCATCAAAATTTGAGCTTGAAAGTGTGGTATTGAGAGATTTTTACTCTGGAGAGAACAATTCATATCTGTAGATGAACAAGATGAACACGACTCGCTTTGGGCTTTGGACTTGCTGGGCTTCTCTAAAAGGTCTTTAATTGAGGTTCGACTCCTTTTCTTTTAGAGTCTTAGTTATTTTTTACAATACTTTTGTTTAACATTTGAGGATATTATTTAACATTTGAGGATTTTATTGACATGACTAAGTTTTAGAGCATTAGGGCATAACTTTGATACCATCCTTGTATGATTTGTTCACTTTGAGCATAAGCTCTTGCTTTGGGCTTTTCCAAAAAAGTCTCATACGAAATGGATATAATATTTCATGATTATAAACTTATGATTATAGTTATAAACCATGATTATTCCCTAAATTAGCGTAGTGAGACTTTCATCATTTCAATATCTATTTTTTTCATCATATCTATTTTTGTCTAAATTCAATTATATATATATTATACATATCTCGGTAGAGATCCTTCCATCTCTCCTAGAGTAATATATTTATAAAAAAAACAAAAAGAAAAGCCTAAAAAATAGATGAACTTTAGATTTTGACAAGGATTCTACAAAATTAAATAATAATAATAATAATAATAATAATAATAATAATTGGCAGCATCACAGGAGCCACATGTTGGTGGCCTTTTTTGTTAGAACAATTTTGATGACCATTTATGCGTTATGCCACCAACCGTTACATATTTGTCAACAAATTCATCGTAGAGTGTCCCAATTCCAAAATAACTATTAAATGTGAAATTAAATGAATGATGCCAATATATTACAATCTATCCAAAAACAAAAGTCATAAAACTCAAAAAAAAAAACAATCATTTTAAATCGATAAAAAATTATAAAATATATTTAAATATAGATCGATATTAAGACTCTTTACATGTATTTGATTGTATCAAGTTGAGAGACTTTTGTAAATTCAAATTAATTACGAGTTTTATATTTGTGGGAAAATAAAAGTAAAACATTAGATATGTAGACTTGTAAGAGTTTCATCCGATTTAGATTCAAGGTTGAAGTTCAATTGGTTCGGTTGGACCAATTCCATCCAGTCTAGTTGGATTTAGTTGCCATATTTGGACCTATTTCACTTTTTTTCCCTTGTTTTTTGAGCCATTTTATTGTTGGTAATCATTTGTTTCTTAAATTTCCCTCACACTCGTTGGATTGGTGTTCGCACCATTCTTCTTTTTCGTTCCACCTTTGTGTGATCTAAGGTTGTTGATGCTACTTTGGATCGTTGTCACTACAAATTGTTGCCGGATCTCACTTAGTAAGAAGAAATCACATTCTTGAGTTACACTCTTGACTGGACTACATTTAGTCCTTGCAAGTCTAAATTGCTCTTGGTTCATTTTGATTTAGTGCTCGATTTTGACGCAACACAACACATAAGTTTAACAAATGTATGATTCGATGCAAGGTTTTTGCATAGCACAATACATAGGTTCTGTACATGCAACAAAAAGTGTGGACTCAACTCAAGGTATTGATTTACCACAAACATTCGGATCAAGGAATGCAATCAAAGTTCAATCCCTGTTTCTTACGTTCTTGTATTCTCATATTGATATCCTTTAAATAGAATACAAGCTAACAACTAATACCTGCCAACAAGTAAAATATAAACTAATTAAATATCATAGAATACAAGCTAACAACTCATACCTGCCAACAAGTAAAATATAAATTAATTAAATATTGAAAATAAAATAAAATATACTATAAATCAAATCATAGAATATTAAAGAATATTAAGATATAATATCTAAGATATATTCCATAAATAATATATCTCAACAAGCAAGTCTGTTGGATTCTTTCGGCTTTGATTTGGTCTAAGACATTTAATTTTGATTTAAATTTTATTGGACTTTCACTTTCGTCCTCTTGTGACAAAGACACATAAAGAAAGTTGCATATAATTAATCTAAGATAAATCAATTATTTGCGTATCGAATCTGAATTAGTATTTTAAATTATACAAACTCATCTAATAAAAAAAATATGTGCATGATTATTTGTGTACTAATTTTTATGTTAATTATTTCGTCTTATTTTGAAATTAGAAAAGCCTATAATTTTGATAGATTCAAGATGTAAGCCATTTATTTAGTAGATTTTTCAGCTATGTGTTGATTTAAATATGTCAACGGTAAATATAAAAGCTTTCCGAAGGGGGTAGATACGAGGCGGTGTGCCAGTAAGAACGCACATCGATGAGAGAAAGAAATAGTGCTAGCGAAGACGTTGGGCCTGAAAGAGAGTGGACTGTGATGTCTCATTTTGGTTAAGGAGGAGAACAAAACAAATAGTGCTAGCGAAGACGTTGGGCCTGAAAGAGAGTGGACTGTGATGTCTCATTTTGGTTAAGGAGGAGAACAAAACAACCTAAGTATGTGGAAACCTCTCCTTAGCAGACCGTTTTAAAACCTTGTGGAAAAGGCCAAAAAGACAAGAGGACAATATCTGTTAGTAATGGATATGGGCCGTTACATCAACTTTCAGCTATATTTCTTGTATTTTATATCAAAACACTCCATTAGGCTTAAAATCTAGTGCAATCTAATTATTTATTATTAATTTTTTTAAAAAATATTTATTTAAATGGGCTCCATCTGATTTTTCTTCAATAAAAAATTCTTAAATTTTCGAAAATTTTAGTACCAATTTAAATATTTTTAACCTCAAGTATTTTTTAAATAAAATATTAATAGTTCTTTCAAATATAAATTTAATTTTAAAATTATTATTAAAAGTTTAAATATATTATTGAATTTTTTAAAAGTTTAAATTTTTAATGTAAAATTCAAGAAATTGTTTTTAGATGATGATGGTTTTAGAAATTGTTAGCAGTAAAGACGTATGAGAACAAAATATCTAAATCGTGTTTTATTTTTGTTTAATATATAGATCAGACGATTTAAAGCTCTAATCTCTTGGTCGAGATATATGTCTTTATAATCGATTTTTTATGTAGTTTTACAATAAGACGAACTATGCTACTCATGGTGGGTGTCGAAATAATTTTACATTTCTAAGAAAATAAAAATATAATTTACGATTTGATGGATACAATTACGTCTTATTATAATGAACCTTTTATCCTAAACCCAGACACCCATCACAAGTGTTCCTAAATTAAAATACCAATGGTACTCGTGATCGCATGATTAGCTAAGTTATGTGCAACCACATTTCAATTTCGATAAATTTGAATTTCATCGCCAATCTAATAGAATTTTGCGGTTAACCTATAAGTTTTCATAGTTTCAATTAGAAAAGCAACCACTTCAACCAGTTTCGAACGATCTAAGCAATCTTCAAACATATTTTACTATCGATATTGTAACGACCCAGATCCACCGCTAGCAAATATTGTCCTCTTTGAACTTTTGCTTCTGGGCTTCCCCTCAAGGCTTTAAAACGCGCTAGAGGAAGGTTTCCACATCCTTATAAAGGGTGTTTTGTTCTCCTCCCCCATTAATGTGGGACATCACAGATATTCACCTTATTCTTGACTATCGTACCTAATCTACAGTGCACGAAAATAAAAAGATTGATATATTTATGCTAATATTTTCTCGACCATTGTAGAAACAATTAATGCATAACTCTAAATTAAAAAGAATGCACGAATCATTAATTATAAATTATTAAAAAATTGAGAGTTTAAGTTAATACAATTATTTATAAATTTGACTTTAGTTTATAAGTATATATATATATATATATTTATTTATTTATTTATTTTTCTCCAGCAGTCCTTTTTTGAAAATTTGAAAATATTTAAGGACCAAGTCGAAAACTTTTACAGATAAAATATACACGTATATTACCTACCCCATGACCGTTTTATTCACACCATAACCATGACAGTGACAGGCAGATACTTTCAAGAAAGTATGCCACGTGGCATATTATCATTGGGTTGTCACTTACGATGGTCCACAATGGCGTAACGTTGGGGTTGTTTTTTTTTCCTTTATTTATTCCATTTGTTTATTTTACTTTTTGTCGTCGAGAACCTGCCGGTTCGGGCCGGTCTGGTCCAACTGTCCCACCGCTGTCAAAATCTTGCCAGCCACTAACCTCTCCAACGTGATCGCCACGTGGACGCACGAGGAGCGCGTGTTCCACACCGCCCATCTTCCTGTGAAATGTATCCGTGCGGCAAATGTTTTTATAATTTATATATATATTCTTGTAAATTAAATAGTTGATAAATTTTTATTTAAATTAATAATTAATTAATTTTTTTTTTGCACTATCAAAAATAAATTATAAATTTTATTATTAGTATTTATATTAATCTATATATATATATATATATATATTTTTTTTTTTAATTTTGGAAAATAAATAAATGACGTTTTTTTTAAAAAAAAAGCTAAGGAAATAAATTTATATTATTAAGAAAATAAAATTTATGACAGAAAAAATAGCCGTTATTATTAATATCCTCGTGGCGGTTTGCCGACATCGAACCGTCCGTTTCCGGAATCTTCCACTTTCCAGTTAATTAAAATTAATAAAAATGATTAGAGTTCATTACTTTCAGAACAGAAAGCCCCCGGCGTTCTAATCTACTTCACACCGATGGATCTCACCGCCGTTTGTTCACCATTATTGCAGCATTCCTAAGGTTTCTCTCGGTGTTTCCTTTGTTTTCATTGAATCTCACTATGGCGATGCTTTTTGGTTTTGGTTTGTTTACTGTGTGAGATATTCTTCTATTTTTGGTTGGATTTTCACGTGATTTCTTGTTAGTTTCAGACGCAATTCCTTTATTGTTGGATGATTTCTTCTTTTGGTTGGATTGGTAAGTTGGTGACTACGAATCGGGGTGAAGAAAAGGAGCTTAGTAGCGTATCGTGTTAGTTCTCCTTCAAAAGGAGTTGGAGAATCTTCTTTTGTTCGATACGTCTTTGAAGCAATCCGAAGGCTGTCTTGTTCATATTCTTCTCCGATAACTTCTTGGTGTGCGGAAGACTGTGGAGGTTTGGATTGGAGATTAATAGCGAGTAGGGAGTTTTTCGTTTCTCGTCTTCGTTTTTCTTTATGTACACTTCAAGCGAATTTGGTGGGATTGAATTAGTCTGCGGTAGTCAATTTTTTTTGCTATTTCTGTATGATTTGTGCTGAAATTGCTTGGTACTCTTCTTTCCTTTCGTTCTATTTAATAATTTACTAATTTTGGGAATTGTTGCCATTAGAAACGATTAATTACTTCATCCGTTGATACTATGAATTCGTTTAGTTGAACTTTGTTTTGTTGCTTGAAATCATCAATGGAGATATTAATTCGTCTTTTACAAGAGTTAATTAGGTTGCTTCTCCAGTTTTCCAGATTTTTTTGGTTTTATGTTTCTTTACATGTGCGTTACCCTAGCTGATAACGGTTCCATTTAGCAAATGGGTTAGTTGCAAGAGCTGAATGTGAGATTTGATGGTCAAATTTAGTAGTTTATGGACAACGGAATTTTGCAGACGATTTATTTCCATTAGTTCGGTGATGGAATCTACTTTGTTTTATACTTCAGGGAAATAAATTCGCCTGCGGAGGAGCTATAAGAAAATGGCTACTTTGCAAGATATTGGGGTTTCTGCAGCTATCAATATTCTCAGCGCATTCATCTTCCTTTTGGTTTTTGCCATTTTAAGGCTCCAGCCTTTCAATGACAGGGTTTACTTTTCGAAGTGGTATTTGAAGGGTTTAAGGAGCAGCCCGACACATGCGGGTGCCTTTGTACGTAGGTTTGTCAACTTGGACTTCAGGTCTTATCTTAAGTTTTTGAATTGGATGCCCGAAGCCATCAGAATGCCAGAACCTGAGCTTATTGACCATGCAGGATTGGATTCTGCTGTGTACTTGCGGATATACTTGATAGGGTATGCCCTGAACTATATGTTATGCCTTCTATTTTAATTATCATATACGCTTTTCTTGCATATGTTAATGGCAACTTTATATAGGAACCCCGACCACATGTTGAATTAGGTGAATTAAAAGATAGTTTGTTCTCAATTTAAGTTGTTGAGCTGTAAATTGTCCATAAATTTCCCTATTTAGATAATCGACCCATCCCAAACCAATTATATAGTATCTGGTATGGGTTGATTTGAATTTTTTAATGTTATTTAATTTAAATTTTGTAGAAGAGAGAGAGAGAAAAAAAAAAAAAAAGAAGAAGAAATGGAGGGTCTTTACCTGTCTTCACATGTCTTCAACATGGAATTAAAAAGAATGATTCAATGTCCTATTTTAAACTACTACT